TTATATTTTTTACCAGATTAAACATAGAATATTTATCATGGGATCAATTCTCTCTTTCATTCTGGAAAGAAAAATGCTACATGTCTTCAAAAAAGATGGTTTTCACACTATTGATCCAGATATTAGATTTTGTTTTTGGTTTCATGCGTATTTTCAGTAATAATAAATATTTTACTTAAAATTTTTACAGTAGGTTGTAGTCATAAAGTTATATCTATGATAAAAAGTTATTGGTACATCCCTTTTGATTCTTGAGAAAAATAAAAGATATTTGAAAAATGTCCAGTGACAGATGATCTTCGCAAAAAGATGAAGCAGTTATGATAAAATCACTGAATAAGTTTGAAGAATAGTCTTTTAAATACCATGTAAATGGATATTTGTAAAATACGAGAACACCCACTAACACCCAAAAATCTCCGAAATTAAAAACTACGATAGCCAATCGATAGAGCTCGCCGAGTTGATTATACTAACACCCACTAACACCCAAAACAATCATTAATAGCTGAGCTTTTTAGCCATTTTTACAAATAAACACCCCACTAACACCGAGAAAAAAGGACACCAACACCCAAAAAAGTATGCCAAGTTAATCTACATGAATCGCTGAGCCAACTGGTACGATGTTTGATCGAAGAAAATGTCTTGGTGATTCTTTGAAATAAATTTTAAAAAAGTTAATTGTTTTCTCATGTCGTATCTATAGTAAAAGAACTTTTTTCCAGGTTCAGAGTCAAGATATATAGATATATTATATATCATTAGGAAGCCTATGGAATTCTCTACGAAGTGCTACTTTGCATTTTTACAAAAGTTACTTATTACATTTTTTATTCGATTTGACTATCGAACACATGTAACTCAGTTACTGTCTGCGCCAAAATACAATGCACTTACATGTTGTTCTGTCAATAACTTTTGATAGAAGAGAGCTCCGACTTTCTCCGTTCGAGAGAGGAGACTTGGAGACATGTTTTCAAAACCAAAAGTGTTTTAAGAAGAGTTGTCTGAAATAGATTTTCTAGAAGATCTTTGGAAAACTACGCAGTCTGTAAACATTTTCCAATAGGATTGCATTGCTACAAGGCCATCAGTTACTTTTTGAATAACTTTTAACAGAAGATAGGAAGAGACCTCGAGTTTTCAGTTTTGGAAGTTAAATATCCCATCACATACTTTTGTAAGCAAAAACGAATTTCGGAATAGTTTCCGAAGCCCGTTTTTCAGAAGATCTTTGGAAAACCAGCTCGATTCTCTGAAAGTTGCGATAGAAATCTATAAATTTTTTTTCATCGATATATGTCCTCTACAAAACTAGATCTAAGCGACATCTTAAAAACCCATAGTTCGGAGTCTATGGATGTTTTTCCTCAAGCCTTAGGTTTGGGACTGTCAGAAACGAATGAAAACATAGATCTTCTGCTGTTTCATCATCGACTAAATCCAAGGACGAACCTTCCAACAGTGTAGTATAATACTCTTCGCGAAGACATAGTTCAATAATAGGTCCGTAGTGTCTGTGTAATCCTTCAGTAATGTTTGAGCTATTTTATCGATCTTGTGGATTGTTGAATCATAAGTTGTTTCTGGCTTTGAAATAGGAAATTTATCTACTATATCATTGATCTCCAAGCTTCAGGCTTTCAGCGATTCATAACTTGACATTTCATCTTTTACTTTTGTTAAACTTAACAGATAAAAATCGTCACGAGTTGCACTTTGGCAAATTGAACATAATAGAGTAGAATGTGTGGTTGCATTACAAATTAAACATTCGTTACGACTACATTACTCCATAGCATAAAATCTTTTCAGAACATAATGCACTATAATTGCGTAGACACAGTATACAATGTACTCATTGAGTTAAGACAAAGAAAACGATTTTATAAAAGGATCGAAATACATATTATCTGTACATAAAACATTCGTTTAAATGAAATGAATAAAGAACAGTGTATTCATTTACTGGTATATGCATCATAAGTCAAAGGATAGAAATGAATGTTTACTTTAACAGATAAGACGATTTTTTACTTTTTGTACTAACTATATTAATATTAACAATGTCCTCAAAATTTACTCTCGTTAACTCCCCAATATTTTACAACGAGGATTATAATAATTATGCCATTTTTAATGCAGTTGATATGGATACGTCACCAATGATACAAGTAGAAATACGAAATAGTCACGGTGTATTCCTTTTCCAAACGCTGATAAATACCCGCGTGTCGCCTAAAACTGTTGGACTTAATGATCGTCAACAAAAACGTTATAAACTTAAACTATATCACAAATATTCCGTTCAAATACATGTTCATCAACATAATTTATTAACTATTATTAATCAAAAGTTCAATGTCGATAAAACAGTCGGAGGATACAATCATGTATTCGAAAGAATATTTGGGAATATCTTATTATCCAGGTTATATCCTCAAAATTTTATTCGTAAAACAGGAATGAAACATTCACGTGGAATATTACTTAGTGGGCCACCAGGTACCGGAAAGACACTGATTGCTCGAACAATATGTGAAGTTTTAAGAGTAAAACCAAAGATTGTCAACGGTCCCGAAACATATAACCATTTGTTAAGAGAATCCGAAGCAAAAATAAGACATTTATTTGATGAATCAGAATTCGACGCAGAAAAGTATGGTGCGAACAGTGATCTACACATTATTATGGTGGTGAAGCTCCAATGATTATATTGGCCAAAAATCATCAGACAGAAGAATTAAGAAGAAGTTGTTCGGATTTAGATGAGCATGCTCGACGGTCAGTCCTATGTACGTATATATAAAATAGTTCACAGTTCAGAATTACCACATTACAATCCGTCCAAAAATACAAGGCCACCGGTTACTTTTTGAATAACTTTCTCTGCAATCGCGATTGATCCAACAAGGAAATAAGAATCGATTAGTCATAATTGAATTCTAAACCGCATCTGATAGCTACTCAAGATTTCATTGGATTAATGGCTTCTGATTTCTTTCTTCCACCGATCGCAATTACTAAAGTACTTAAGATTTACTATTACAAAATCCAGATCAAATGTAAATCTCGATTGATCGATACTCTTCGTCATCTCCGAACAACTACAATATCCTTCTAATCTCGATTAACTACCTATAACTATCAATTATTTCCGTCTTGCGATTAATCGATTGAGATGATTACTGATGATCAATTAACATGTTATTTTTGTCTCGGGATTAGCAGTATGAAAGTATCGATCGTAGATTTATCGCGGTTAATTGAGAGTATGTCTTCTTCGACTAATCGATATTCTCACTGTAATACATTTGACGACTGGTCGGTAGTATTTCTCCTAGAACGATTAATCGGGTTTGTACTTCGGTTATGTTTTCTTCTCGCAAGAACACAATTTGAAAGCAGTTCTCGATTGATCTCAAGTTCTACTGTCAGCACATTTCGACATCGACTCTGACTTTGTCTTTCATTTACTAAATATTAGTCATTGTTTTGGTACTCAAGTGTTTTCGAACAGCTTCTCCATCACTTTTTCTGTTCTAGAGGATCTTTCGCATTAAGCAAAATCATTTTGTCTTAAAGAAACATTCTATTTCTTTTTTTCTTGTGATATATTTGCCGATATTTGCTAAAAGCTGATCACGTGCATTATTTTTTCGCTGCACAGATGCAAAGTAACATTTACTTGCATTGCCGGTTAGAATTTAGAAAAATAACACTCCTGTTCCGATCACAAACAGTATCAGAAACAAAATCAGAAGGGTATGAGCGAAGCTGCAGCCGGTTGAGAAAAGATAAACCGGTCCGGTCCGGCCGGTAAACGGGAATTATAACTCAAACCGGCGAAAACCTGGTGAAATTTTTTGCAAATCGATTTTCAGAAAGAATTTCTCCCACAAATGAAGTAGTTTGCGAGCACATGTGAGAGAACCTTCACAATAACGAGTCTATAATATTTAACCTTAAAACAAGTGATGAAAATAGTATCTATCTTGAGCATCGTCTTATTTATTCAGACTAAAAAATACGTGAAATTTTAGTTTTTTTGAATAAAAACAGAGTAAAAAGAGCAGATGTTTCAAAACTTTCAACCGGTGAAATACCGGTCCCTACCGACCTGGTTGACTTTTTGAACCGATCCTGTCCGGTACCGGCTTACCGGACCGGTTCCAGCTCTGGGTATGACATAGGAAGGTGAATACGCTTTTGTGCTGACTACTATCAGTCTGTACTATAGACTGAAACGACTGATAGATGTAGACGTTATACCAGTTACACAACAGTTCACTGTTCTTCTCACTGTTTTTATAAGTAAAATTCATTATTTTCCTTTTCTCTCTATTTTGTATATTTATGACCGGCACATTCCTTGATCGACTTAATTTGCTATGAAATTCTTCCTTTAATAAGAGATGTTGATTAAAACAATTTCCTACCATCAAATGATGTCGGTTAAATATACAAATCAATTAAGACAGGTATAGTACAGGAAAGAATATACACATAGTAGCATCTAGCCATGCCATTGGAACAATTGCCACTGTCTAAAATACCTACAAACGCGTTCTGTTTAGTCTTTTTCTCATATATGAAAAAACGTTTTATCACCAGATTTTACTTATAAAAACTGGATAAACGTGGTATATGACACATGCACACAAAAACTGTACTTGTGTCTTCTTTTGAATGGCAAAAAATAACAGCATGATGTTGTCGTGTTTTCAATATGAAAAACACGAGAGACTGTTATCTTTTATCTCTCGAAACAAAATTTTCTCTTCGAAAGAAAATTCTTTCTTGCACTGCACCTAGTCAGTCACCTATATGTTTTGAAAATTCGTTTAAACGCGGTTTTAGCTTTAAAATATCGCGCGAAACTCTGTTTACGAAAAATTTACCGCTTGAAATTCGTTTAAAAAAAACGCGCGAGAATCGCGTTTGATATACTCATAGGTTGCGTAAATTTTTGCGTAAATTTTTCGTAAACAGAGTTTCGAGCGATAATTTAAAGCTAAACTCGCGCGTTTTTTAGAAAATTCGTTTTCTCGCAGTTCTTGAGAAAATCTCGAGTTGCATTGCGTTAAAAACGCGTTTTTCACTCACTTATTTGTTATAGAAATGCCTAATTTCGCGACTTCAGTCTAAGAAACGAGTCTTATAAATTTTGAAAAGTGAAACGCGTTTTTCAAATTTCATTTCTAGACAAAACTCGTTAAATTCGATGCCGTTCGCGAGTCTTGAAGTCTGTTGCGACTGAAAACGCGTTTTTAAAAAGTTATGATGGTCATAAACGCGTTTCTCACGAACTATTGATGGTAAAAACGCTGTTTTGATTAAGACGTATATTTAAAGGTCAAGAAATTCGCCGTATTCATGGTGAAACTGTATATTCTCGCGCTGTAAAACCGCGTTAAAACGAATTTTCAAAACATATAGATGACTGACTGAGTATAATGCGTGAATAGGTCACTCAGATTATTCGAGTATTATCAATGATCGACAAGTTCTTCTTCTTCGTTTTGCAAAAGAAGGGTGAACAAGGGGGTTCCTTGTCTTATTCTACTATTGCTTTGTTTTCGTCTACGATTGGTAAGTGACACATAAAACAATGTAGTGTACTAACCATCATCGTGTTTATCAACAAACTGTATTTCTCAGTCCAGCTGAAGAGGCTCTTGAGCGAGGCAAAAACGCCTACTGGGCAGCTCTCTTTCTTTCTCACTCTTCGCCCTCGACACATACACACATATCGGCATTTTTTGTCCCATTTTTGGCTTACACAAGTCTTTACAAAAGAAAAGAGAGGTAAAAATCAAAATACAAGACCATTCTCCTCGTATATCTGCAGTTGATCATCTGTCTGCTTCATCGTTTCCTTTTAGAACAGCCTTAATTCTCACTTTTGACAGAACTTTGTCCTTTTTGTATGGCATGCTGCTGATGTTAGGCAGAGGGAGAGAAAGGAGGAAAGGGATCAAGGCTTTTGACTAGAATTGTGTGAAAAGTGGGAAAACTCCTTCTGTTTTTGTTTCAGCTTTTTGTTGCTTGTTGAAATAGGAACCTTGGTTTTTAATTGTGACAAGAAAGTGGAAGTGTGAGGGTCAATATTCAAAAAAATTTCCTGATAGTCGGTTTTATGATCCTGTTAAAAATATTCGAGAGGGAGATGGGGCTCAGCCTCCTCTTGACTATGACACTATTCAAAACATCGTATTATACTCTCACGCGCAAGATCCTATATTTCGTACCCTGTCACTGTATGTCGTCTTAGCACACTGCCAACACACTAACCTACCTATTGTCTTATCTTTCTGGACTCATTACTGTTCTTCTTCTCTTCAAGTGTCATCTTCGTACATTGCCCATATTAGCCATGGGGAGCGTTACTTCTATCCAGGAAAACTGTGAAGAACAAGCACAAGATCCAGAGGCACCTCCACTCACTCGCGCGCTAGCTCGGGCACAACAGCTCTATAATATCGCCATTCTGAATTTCGGTGTGGCCGATCTCCGTTCGATTACACGTTTATTACGTTGTTCGCTTTCTGGAACATATAAAGTGGATCGACAGACGTTGGTGGTGTTAGGTGGTGCGGTTATATATGTTGCAATGCCGTGCGATGCTATTCCTGATTTCATTCCGGTCTTAGGATATTTAGATGATGCCTATATACTGCGTCAGGCCATAACTACATGCTTGTCGGAAATACGACGGTTTCAGCAGTGGGAAGAAGAACAACAAAGGAATAAATAAATAAGGAAGAATGTCCAACAATCCAACACCATTAATAATAAAAACAAAAATGTTCGCAACAAACTGTTTGGCAATAATTTTGGATGATTTCAGAGTTCGTCTCAGTTAGTGTAGTAATTGTTTCTCACTTTATTTCATTTTTCTTTTCAATTCTACAACAGTCGGTTTATTTTGATGTTCATATTCATTTCACCGCCACGGAATATCGTAGAACTTCACAAACGTAGGAAAATAGCAGTGAAACAGTTACAGAATGAAGTTAATCCAACCGAAGGTACTAAAGGTGCTTTTCAGTCATTTTGTAAACCTATCTCGTTTTTTGGGTTAAGAGATGAAGCCAACTGGCTTCATTGCGATTTTTGTAAGCTAATACCGCGACCTGTTCACGGACATATTTCATTATTCACGGATGTTTTCGACGGTTTGATTCTTTTTTCTAGCGTTAGTGGCATTGTGTGCCAGCCCAAACTTTGTTTCAATACGATAGAGTTAGATGTTTTCGAGTTTGATAATCTTATAAAGAAAGTTCTATAGGTCGAACCAGTCTTTTTTCTACAATGTATTTGCCTTGTCGTTGTACAGAGTGCGACAGGAATCAGAACTGTACACCAGAAGTAATATTTAGTAAATGAAAGAGAATGTCAGAGTCGATGTCGAAACGTACTGACAGTAGAACTTGGGATCAATCGACTCAAGCACGAAAAAAAATCATGAAGCGGGCGCTGCAACTGGATTAAAAGGTACATTTATCTAGCTTCAGCTAGCTGTACAGAAATACATGAAAATTTTATCTAGCTTCAGCTAGATTGAAGCTAGTTTCAATTGGGTACAATTAGTTGCTATCGATTAATCGGGCAATTCATTGCTCGATTAATTGGCCCATGGAGTGGCCGTTTCAACTAATACACAATTTCAATCAGCATGCAGCTAGATAAATGTACCTTTTAATCTAATTAATCTAGCTGTAAGTGGGCGCTGCAGCTACTTCTGCAGCTAGATTTTCTCGCTTACTTAGTTTTGCTTGGGGACAACCGCTTTCAAATTGTGTTCTTGCGAGAAGAAAACATAATCGAAGTACAAACCCGATTAATCGTTCTAGGAGAAATACTACCGACCAGTCGTCAAATGTATTACAGTGAGAATATCGATTAGTCAAAGAAGACATACTCTCAATTAACCACGATAAATCTACGATCGATACTTTCATACTGCTAATCCCGAGGCAAAAATAATATTAACATCATCAATGAAGTAATGCTTACAATAATGTTGGTTAAGTTTATCCAATGTAAAGTTAATAAAACGTTTTCCTAGTTCAATAGCAATTATCTCTTCATCATGTACATTTTGAAATTCGTGTTCAAGGTCAAATTCTTCACACATCCATAATACGATTATTTTAATAACATATGATTTAATATGGTCACTGTCACGTCGAATATGTTTATAATAAATGTATCTTGCTATTCTATTAAGCATTTTTTCAATAGTTGTACGCAGCTTGACTAATGTTAACTCAACAGCCGAAAATGATAAATGAAATTCATAACGTGCTGCTTCTTCTGACGTATGCTTACACCATTTTGGTATTGCATAAACAGACGAGTCTCTTATTTGTTTATATATGGGAGGTTTGGTATGTTGTAATGTTTCAAGACGTTTATTAGTTATTTTCGGCCAGAATTTTAGTTTATAACCAATAACAATATCACATTCCTCATCCATGAGTTGTGGATCAGCAGACAAATGTAAGTGTTTCTTGTCATCTTCCTCTATAATGAAATAGTGAAATTTTTTATAAAAAAATTTAATAATAAATGGATTTTTTCACATAGATTTGATGGCATGCCTATGTTGACTAATGACAGGAGAAAAGAACGTTGAATCTTAAGGATAAGTTGGAGACGTTTCAATTGTTTATCCGCAAATTCTGTTTTTATTTCATTATTAAATAATTCTCTTGCGTGGCGTTGTAGATGACTGTGTGATTGTTGATGAAGTATTTACGATATAAAGATATAAAATTGTTCGATATTTTGTTAACCAAGCCGTTGTTGTTCAGTAGTCAAATTTTTACGAAACTCTTCAATTTTTTGCAATAAACTCCACTCGATTTTTAGTGATGAGTTTTTGTAACGTAGATATATATTTGCTTGTTCCAACGAGATCGATAATGATGAATTTGATGGTAAAATATCTTTTGCTTCACTTCTCCAAGTAGTTCTTCTTTCAGTTTGTAACCATCGATGTATAATGTGCCGTTCATATTACCATGAGGAAGATGCTTCAATGTGTTGTTACTAACGATCCAACAAGTCAATCTGTTGTTAAGAACGACAAAGTATAACTCCCGCAGAGTGTCAAAACAGACATCTTATTCATGCCATACTATATTATACAGTATTCTAATATAACCATTTACGTTCGATACGTATTCTATCTCTAATTCGTTTTCGATTTCAGTAGCCAACGCATACATTAAGTCGTATTCATACAGAGCTTCCTCTGGTATAAATTTTGCATCAGACTGCCTCTCAAAAACGCTGCCATTGCCATACAGCGGTATAGGTTTAGCTGAATTATTTTTTCTATTAGTTAGTATGTTACTCATGTTAGGATTGTTTTTAAAGAAAATGTCAATTGATTGTCTGAAAATACTGAATTTGCTCTGAATTTATATAAAACATCAGGCATTTATTTACTCTGTTGAAATGAAACTAGAATAATGTATAAAACGCTCCTTTTGCAGAAGAAAAAAGTAAAATAAACGTTTTTTATTCTATCCATAGTAATGACAACCTTCTATACTCTTGGAGAACAGAAAAAATTCAAGTAAAAGGAACAATGCGATGTTTATGAAACGTTTATCCCTAGCTGTTGATCCCGGTTCGTTAGTTCATAACTAGGGCCAGATGCTATAATTGAAAATGAATAACGAAATTTATGTCTGGCTATTGGAGATAGTTTATGGCTACATTTAGCGACTAGATAAACTTTACATGGTTCATTATAATTTAGTAAGTTATTCCGCTTTGAGCTGTCCTATGGCATTTTCGAGCAAGAAGTATTTTTAAAAACACCTTGAACCAAATTTCGTTCAAAGGAAGTATTTTCAAGCAAAGTGTGGGTTCGAAAGTTGTTCAGACTCGGATTTTCTGGAATATGAACGCAGAATTCTTTTTCAAAATTCATTAAACTCAATTTTTAATTTGAAAAATACGGTTTTTAAAATTTTAAAATTTAGTAAAATTTAATTTAAAAATCCAGTTTAACGAATTTAGAAAATTTCCTTGTTCGTATTCCAGGGAATCTGATTCCGAACAACTTTCGCATCCACACTTTTCCTTGAAAATGCTCCGTCGCGAGAAATTTGGTTCAAGGTGTTGTGAAAATATTTTTACTTAGCTAAAAACTGGAGAAATTTTTTAGCTTTGAATGTTTTTGTTAAATTTTCCCAGTTTGTAGAGAGCACTTCGAAGTATATGATCTGAAGGTTTTTCGACTTACCTCCCGGCTCTACACGACCTTTCTTCGCAAAGTTATATAAATTTACACGAAAAGCCCTAAATTAATTTCTTCTTATTCTTGTAGCTTTGAGCTGACAATGAACATTTAGGGCTTTTCATGTAAATTCTATAACTTTGCAAAGAAAGATCGTGTAGAGCTAGGACTCATTTTAATCAGAAATTTGCGGTCAACAATCGTGCCTTATTAAGAAACGTTTTGGTTATTTTTTCAGAGTTTCTGAAAACTTTGTTTTTTGGAAACCCGGTCTTTGGAGGCCTAGCAACACAGACCGATGTCAGATTCGAATTTAGTGCAGTCGATTACCTATTGTCCATTGGAGTTCAAGCAAAAAGCGGTTGCACACTTGGGGACCTTTCCTCATAATTCCGTCTGGAGATGGTGTTACCCCTTGCTGCCGCAAGCCTAAGTAGTCTTTTGTTTCCAAAGCTTTCATCGATATTCACACACCACTCGAACCGTCATCCGACAGCGAACAAAAGTATGTCAACTTTACTGCAGAAGGTACTGTAGAAAGAAATCCGTTTTTTACCAGTTGTTTCAAATCTACCTCAGATTTCGGTTTTAACGTCGACCTATAGTTAAGAAATACCCTAGAATTCACTGAACACCTTTAGGGATCTCAAAGAGACTTCGGCGAGGCAGCTAGAATACCGTCAATGAACGGTTGGTGTTTTGGTTAGGTAACCTACACACTAAAGTACTAGCATTTATGAGTAATTTTTCTTCCGTCTTCATTTTGGCAGACAGAGGCATAGTGAGTTGACCCGCATTGCCAGTTTTCAGCATGCGAATGAACATTCAGGGTCATCTGACCAAGAAGAATTCTTTCTGTCAATGGAAGACGAAGAAATGAGTGACGCAGTTCGTGATACAGATTTTCTTGGCAAGTTGGTCGTGCCAACAATTGGAGATTTGTTTGAATTATGCAAAAAACAATTTGAGTCTCGGAAACTTTTAATCCTCTTGTATATGGTCCTTCGGCGCTTAGGTCATCCATGGCGTTTGATCGATGGACTACTTTGCAGTATTGGTGCTCATTCATGTGTATCGTCTCACAAATGGTCTGAAGTCTTTCTTTCCAATGATTTGCTTCTTACAGGATGGCCGTGAAGGAAAAGCACTCAGATTCTTTCTGTGACACATTTTCCGAGCTAGAAAATGAATTACTGTTTTATGTTAAGCAACAAACTAGCAAAAGTGTTTCGGAAACTAAGTATATAAATATGGCAGATATCATAATACAAGAACGAAGTTTTAAACAAATTCCAGAGACGCATAGCATAGAAATGTATTTATAGCTATCGATAAAAGCAAACAAAGGCAAGTAAGTTGCATTATTGTCACAAAGTCATGACTAGCAATGACCGTAATCAGCAACAGAAAAATAGTTTATTCTACACTATAGCAAAAGAAAAGCAATGATTATTTTTGTTCAAATGTCGATTAAAACATTCATGTTAACATTGAAGCCAGTAAAATATAATTTGATCACACTTCGCAATTGTCTCATTGTACTCATGATTTAAATCAACTCAATTTTAACTTTGCATATTCATCAGATTTGAAAACTACATTAGAAATGTTTAGTGGAATTATTTCTTTGCGCAGTTCTTAAAGTTTTAATATATGACGAGTAGAAAATAAGAACAAGAGAATTCTCTGAATATAGCAGTCACTCGTTTTTTTCTTCTCTTGCAAAGAAAGACGTCATTTAAACGTTGGGTGCTCGTTCAGATGAGAAGTGAGAAGCTTGGAAAAAAATAATATAAGATGATATAGGGGACGGGCGGGAGAGGGATACGAGTAAAGTTTATGGCTTCTTTTGTATAGAAATATAGCTTTTGAAGAGACAGTTATGTATAGTGATCGTCCAATGAAATCGATTGTTAAATAAACAACTGAGAAGTAAACAAACAAATCTCGATGCTCATCTAAATTACATCTCCTTATGAAGAATAGTAAACCTCTGAAATAAAAAGTCTGACCTTGACAAGATTTTACATTGTTATTTTAGAGTTTTCTATATATAGTGAAAAGTTCGTTTTCTTTTATTACACTAGTTTCTTTGTTTGATGTTTTAGGGAGCATATACTAAAGGCAATGTGAACTGAAGCAACGTGAAAAAACAAGGGGAAGAAGTTGTTCAAGGTGATATTTCACATATGAGACTTTTAATTCAAGCCAAACAAAAATGCTTAGTGTCTCTGTAGGCCAAATAACAACATCGTCCCAGTTCTCGTCACAATCATTGTTATTGCCATCGTCTTACGTACATGTTTCCTAAAACATCAAACAAAGAAACTAGTGTGATAAAAGAAAATGAATTTTTCACTATATATAGAAAACTCTAAAACAACAATGTAAAATCTTGTCAAGGTCAGACTTTTTATTTCAGAGGTTTACTATTCTTCATAAGAAGATGTAATTTAGATGAGCATTATGAAGTTTTGAATTTCAGTTGATAGTGATCGTACGTAGCAATAATTAATTCTTGAAGAAATCCTAACGCCTTTAAAACATGCCCACGAAAACTAAAATATCGTGGACATACGTGGTTTGGCATGCTCTACGTTTTTAATTTTTCAGAAATCGATTTTGGCGAAAAACAAGTTTTTGAATTCCAGAAATTCAGGTCATCTATTTTAGTTTTCGGACCAGAATCCTAATAGGGGCTCAAACCATTATCATATTCAAAATCAGCACGTATAATTACATATAACCAACTGTATTTTGGAGAAAATGGAGTTGGACACTTGAAGAGGGCCCCTCGTGAAGAAAATCCCAAACATTTCTGTCTCACATTTTTGGGCAAAAATTAATCAGGCTGTTGTCTGAGACAACTCGAAAAGATGGGAAATACTAAGAAAATGTATGGTCATCTTGATAAGGCAAAACTTATTTTACACTGTAGTATAAGATAAATAGCTGTGAATAATTATTATGATTCGTAGGCGGCGGAATGAAGTCAATCTAGGGTAGGCTCAAAACATTTTTCCAAATAGTGCGAGAGGGTGGGTAAGGGGAGGAACGATGTAGCGTTTACACACAAAAAAATATTCGTAGAAACCAAAACCAGTATAACACCCTAAACACTTTTCAACAAAAAAACACCGCTCTTAGCATTGGTCTTATAGAGAAAATTTTCATAACCTACGTCGCAAATGGCAGAAACTGGGTAATGGCTGCCAAGCACAAGC